GGAGAGGGCGGGGCGGGGGGCGGGCAGCACCCTGACTGAGGAGGGGCCAGGCCGCCCTGTGACCGTGGCCCTGGGCTCAGTGGACTCCCATCTGGCAAATGGGCACCCACAGCCTGGGATCCTAGAACTGGGGTGGGCCAGGCCCTCGGCCCTGCTGGTCCGTGGACACCTTTCTCATTGGACGGAGTTGCGGACCCGTGTCCGGCGCTGCCCCTCCTACTGGCCACGCCCAAGCACCCGGGGGGCTGGGGGCGAAGGGAGGATGAGCTTAGGGGTTAGAAGTGACGTGCACTTCGCTGAGGCCTTCTAGACCAGCCGTGCCTTGTGGGAGAGGGTGAGATGCTGCAGTGGGTCTGGGAGAGCCACGTCCACGGGGGAGCTGGTTCGAGGCCGGGAGCTGTTTTACTGATGCAGCAGCCTGTGGGGTCAGCCACACCGACGCCGGGGCCTGGCTTCTGTGCTGAGCAGGGCTCCCCCCTCCCATTTCCTGTATCTGCCTCTGAGGCGAGAGAGCGTGTTCTCCATTCTGGAAGGAAGCGGGGGGCTGGGGCCCTCGGGGGGACGGCCAGGAACGGGCTGGCAGGGGGATGTTTCTGGCCGTGAACACAGGCAACCCCGGAACCCGCCCGTCGCTGCTCCAACCGGCTCCGGGCCGCCCGCTGTGCCCGCTGCCGCTGCACCTTCACCCCCACATCCCTGTGGCGCCGTTATCAGCTGCCACGGGTTCCCGTGACCCAGAACGAAAGGACCCGCATCTGGGTCACCGGGAGCCAGTGAGTCAGCGGGCGGGCCCTCCGCTCGCCCCCCCTCTCCCCTCCAACCTGCCGCGGGGGTGGGGGGCGCGTGGAATCGCGGTGGGTTATCTCTCAGCCATCGCTCAGCGGGGCCCCAGCACCCACCGAGTGTGGCTTTCACATCGCTTTCCGGTAGATAAACAGATATTTTGGTGACTCTACAAATCACTGCTCATGTGTGTGACCGAGCGCAATGAACACGCCCGTGTCTCTGGGTCTTGCTTGTCTATGTGAGCCGCGGGCTCCGCAGGGCGGGGCAGGGCGTGCAGGGC